CTCTCGCTCGCTCTCGCTCGCTCGCTCGCTCGCTCTCTCTCTCTCTCTCGCCCCCCCCCCCCCTCCCTCTCTCTCTCCTCCTACCTCCTCCTCCTACAAGTGGCTTGTGCGGCGGCCTCGTGTCTAGCTCTAGGGTGTCACCGTAAGCTCATGAGAGTCGACAGGTGCCGCCGCGGCGAGTCGCGGCTCAGGTCGGTCAGGTAGCAGCCGACGGACCCCTTGTTGCCCGCGAAGAGCATGCACAAGCCCTGGCCGGCGTACGGGCCGGTCGCCGGGCCGGTGACTTCCCCGCGCGTGCCGTGGACGAGCCGGTCGCCGTTTTCGAACTTTTCGTCCTTGCCGACGTAGTAGAGCCACTCCCCCGCGCAGAAACCGCGAGGGAGGGGCGGCGGACGGCGGCGGCTCAGCTCCTCAAGGTAGATCTGGACGTGCCCCTCGTTCCCCGGGAACTGGATCGCCAGCCCCTTGCCGGCGTGCGAGGCGGCGAGCGCCGGGCCGGCCACCGTCCCTCGCTCGCCTACGTGGTGGAGAGGGTATATAGGGGTGAGGCGACCCCGGGTCCGGGCAAGTGTGGCGCCAGCGTGAGGGCGGGAGGCGGTGTCGTGCAGCGTCTTCAGAGCACGGCGTGGATACGAGGGAGGCGAAGGCAGTGAATACAGCGGAATGCGGCGGAGTAGAGTTGAGTGCGTGTCCTCTCGAGCGCTGGGGTTGGGAGACAAGGAAGCGTCTTCTGGGAGACCAGGAAGCGTCTTCTGCTCCTAGGCTCGCTCGCCGTGGACCATCCGGTTGCCACTCGCAAAGTACGTCGAGGGGCCGATGTAGAAGAGCTCGTCGTTGGGCTTGTAGCCGCCTTTGCGGCGATGGGCGCGTCAGCAGGCGGCGGGCGGGCGGGCGGGCGGGCGGGCGGGCGGGCCGGGGGGGGGGGGGGGGGGAGCTCGTCTACTTGAAGCCGCCAAAGCCGAACGTCGTACCCGACTGTGCTCCGCCGACCGCGGCGAGCGAAAAGAGGGCGGCGAGGCCGCTCTGCTCGCCAGCAGCCGCCTGTGGGGCGACGCTTGAGGTCAGGAGGCGCTTGAGAGAGGCACGTCAGCGTTGGTGGGAGTGCGGTGGTCAAGACAGACGTACGTGCTCTGCCACGGCGTGTGGGCTGTATTCAGGGACTCGAGCAACTGTGACTCCGTGCCGGCGGCAGGACTCGGGGGTGTGGCGGCCACAAATCTTGCGGGATGTGCGAGATTTGAGAGCGCGCACCCGCTTGGGCGGGGCCTTCTTGACAATGCGCTTGGGCGGGGCCTTCTTAGCGACGGGCTTGGGCTTGGGCGGGGCCTTCTTGACGGCCTTCTTCACCGGCTTCTTGACGGCCTGGCGGGCAGAGGCACCGGGAGGGTTGAAACGACGGACGGCGGCGGGTGGGGAGAACTGAGGCGAGGAGCCTTCTTGACCGGCTTCTTCGCAACCACCTTCTTCACCGGCTTCTTCACCGGCTTCTTCACCGGCTTCTGACGATCGAGGAGGGCGAGGGAGGAGGTTGGAGGTGGCTGTGAGGTGGCTTCACGGAGCGACGTTTGTCAGATGGCCGCGCGTGCTACACCTTGGCTGCCAGCACGACCGGTGAGGACACGCGCACGGTCGAGGCCTGCAGCGCCGAGACCGGCGCCTGGAAGGCGGCCACGTTGCCAGCACAGGCCACGAGGAGCAGGATCAGGCGAGCGAACATAATTTTTGGAAAAGAGACTGGTACTGTCGTGGCACCTTCGAGGAAATTTGTCTACTAGCCGTCGTTCACACCTCCACGTAGACACCTCTTTCTCTCTCTTACTCTCTCTCTCTCTCTCTCCTTCTCTCCTTACTATCTCTCGCTCTCGCTCGCTCTCGCTCGCTCGCTCGCTCGCTCTCTCTCTCTCTCTCGCCCCCCCCCCCCCTCCCTCTCTCTCTCCTCCTACCTCCTCCTCCTACAAGTGGCTTGTGCGGCGGCCTCGTGTCTAGCTCTAGGGTGTCACCGTAAGCTCATGAGAGTCGACAGGTGCCGCCGCGGCGAGTCGCGGCTCAGGTCGGTCAGGTAGCAGCCGACGGACCCCTTGTTGCCCGCGAAGAGCATGCACAAGCCCTGGCCGGCGTACGGGCCGGTCGCCGGGCCGGTGACTTCCCCGCGCGTGCCGTGGACGAGCCGGTCGCCGTTTTCGAACTTTTCGTCCTTGCCGACGTAGTAGAGCCACTCCCCCGCGCAGAAGCCGCGAGGGAGGGGCGGCGGACGGCGGCGGCTCAGCTCCTCAAGGTAGATCTGGACGTGCCCCTCGTTCCCCGGGAACTGGATCGCCAGCCCCTTGCCGGCGTGCGAGGCGGCGAGCGCCGGGCCGGCCACCGTCCCTCGCTCGCCTACGTGGTGGAGAGGGTATATAGGGGTGAGGCGACCCCGGGTCCGGGCAAGTGTGGCGCCAGCGTGAGGGCGGGAGGCGGTGTCGTGCAGCGTCTTCAGAGCACGGCGTGGATACGAGGGAGGCGAAGGCAGTGAATACAGCGGAATGCGGCGGAGTAGAGTTGAGTGCGTGTCCTCTCGAGCGCTGGGGTTGGGAGACAAGGAAGCGTCTTCTGGGAGACCAGGAAGCGTCTTCTGCTCCTAGGCTCGCTCGCCGTGGACCATCCGGTTGCCACTCGCAAAGTACGTCGAGGGGCCGATGTAGTAGAGTTCGTCGTCGAGCTTGTACCCGCCGGGCAGAGCGGGCGGCGGCTCCTTGCTGAGGTCATCCAGCGCGCAGTCGATGCTCTCATGGTTGCCCTCGAAGTGGACCGCGACGGCGTGCGCACCGCTGGCTCGCCCTGTGACCTTCCCGACAGTGCCGTGGACGAGCCGGTCGCGGCCGCCGCCCTCGGGGTTGTGGCTGTGGCCTGTGTAGTAGACCTGGTCCCCCGTCTCGGCCTTGAGGACGGGCGTCTCCCCCATTCTTCTGCTCACAGCGAAAAGTCGAGCGTGAGTTCGCCTTGGAAGTGACGTCTGTCAGGGCAGTTCTCGCGCGGCGTCTATTCACGGGCCAGTTTTGGCGAGCGACTGCGAAAAGAGATGGGCAAGAGGCAACTGAGTGGCTAAATTCTTAAATCACAGAGAAAGCTGAGCCGTGAGCCCCCCACACCCCGCCGCACCCCACCGCGACCAACATTATTGGTCGGGGGAGTACAAGAGCAAAGTTGCGGCACAGGGAGAGCTGCTGGGTGGGTGTGGCGTTCCGTCTGGCGCGGTGATCCCAGCAGAGATGGCGCGAACGGGGTTCACGAAAAAGAGTCGAGGCCGTGGCGGATGCCGTCGGAGGCAGATCAAGCAACCAACGAACCTGTTCAAGGTCCACTGCTGCATGGATGGATCTTTCGGCCATTTTTCGACGCCGAAATCGACTCCTAAGTATAACCCTTAGATATTCCCTAAGGGGTATTCCTCAGGGTAATCTCTAAGGATATTTCCTAAGGAGATTTCTAAGGAAAATTTCTAAGGATATTTCTAAGGATATTTTCTAAGGATATTTCTAGGATAATTTCTAAGGCGACTCTCCAAGATCAATCGCTAAGGATATTTGTCTGAGAATATTGTCTTAGATATTTGGCTAAGGATATTGTCTTAGAATAATTGTCTAAGAAAATATTGTCTCAGGATATTGTCTTAGAATATTGTCTTAGATATTTGGCTAAGAATAATGTCTCAGGATATTGTCTTAGAATATTGTCTTAGATATTTGGCTAAGAATATTGTCTCAGAATATTGTCTTAGATATTTGGCTAAGAATATTGTCTCAGGATATTGTCTTAGAATATTGTCTTAGATATTTGGCTAAGAATATTGTCTCAGGATATTGTCTTAGAATATTGTCTTAGATATTTGGCTAAGAATATTGTCTCAGGATATTGTCTTAGGATATTTGGCTTACGAAATTGTCTCAGGATATTTGGCTTAGGAAATTGTCTCAGGATATTTGGCGTAGGATATTCCCTCAGATATTTGACTTAGGATATGGTCTCAGGATAATTGGCTTAGGATATGGTCTCAGGATATTTGGCTCAGGAAAATGGCTTAGGAAATTTTCTCAGGATGTTTTCTCAGGATTGGTCTCAGGACATAATCTCAGGATATTTGGCTTAGGATATTTGGCTGACGGTCCAGGCCACCCTCAGGGATGCCTAGATCTGAGGGCAGAAGAGAGAAGATTGAGTGCACACAAAAAGCAGACTAAGCATTTGACTTGCCAAACGGCTCTCCTCGGCCCTCTCCGCTCACCCCCTGCGCGCCCCGGCCTGCGCCCGGCCCTATACGTGCGCGATGCCCAAACCGCCGCGCGCGCCGCCGGGAGCACCGTCGCGGCCAGTCGTGCGCGCAAGCCCGCCCTCTCACCGCGCGCCCGTGGGCCGCCCCGGCTGACCATTCGCACATCGCCTCGACAGGCGTCGTCCAGCAGACCTGACGTCCGAGCGGGCGCTTGGATATCGATGGCGACCGATAGGATATTGCCGGAAGCGGATGTTCTCGGCGGGCAAGTCGAAGCGGAGGTGCGTGCGCCTTCGCTCACCCCTCCTTTTCCTGATCTCAAAGCGGATCGCGTTGCGCCCGCCGAGCGGATCGGCACTTTGGGCGTGCTGGGCGACACGGGAGGGCCCGAGAGCGCGTCCCGGCCGCCCCCGCTCACCGGCTGCCCTCATCCGTGCCCTCTCCAGGCGGCTGCACGACGTGCGAGCGTGCACAGCCTCACCTCCGCGGTCATCACGCTCGAGCCTGCCGCCGCCGCCGCATGTTCCGAGCGCTGGGCGGTCATGGCGTCGGCGGAGGCCGGCGCTGGCGCTGCCATCGCCACGGGCCTCGCGGCGGCGGTCGCAGCGCACCCGGCTGCGGCTCTCGGCGCCGTCTCTGCGGCGCTCGGCGCCGTTTGAGGTCGCGGGAAGCCGCACCTCTGCCGCCGTCGCTCCCCCGGCTCTGACCGAGTACCGGGCGTTGAGGGAGGCGGCGCAGGGCGGCGCTGGCGCCGCCATCGCCACGGGTCGCGCGGCGGCGGTCGCGAGACACCCGGCTGCGGCTCGCGGCGCCGTCTCTGCGGCGCTCGGCGCCGTTTGAGGTCGCCATCGGGCGTGCATCTGCCGCCGTCGCTCCCCCGGCTCTGACCGAGTACCGGGCGTTGAGGGAGGCGGCGCTGGGCGGCGCTGGCGCTGCCATCGCCACGAGCCTCGCGGCGGCGGTCGCAGCGCACCCGGCTGCGGCTCTCGGCGCCGTCTCTGCGGCGCTCGGCGCCGTTTGACGTCGCGGGAAGCCGCACCTCTGCCGCCGTCGCTCCCCCGGCTCTGACCGAGTACCGGGCGTTGAGGGAGGCGGCGCAGGGCGGCGCTGGCGCTGCCATCGCCACGAGTCGCGCGGCGGCGGTCGCGAGACACTCGGCTGCGGCTCGCGGCGCCGTCTCTACGGCGTTTGGCGCCGTCTGAGTTCGCGGGCAGCCGCACCTCTGCCGCCGTCGCTCCCCCGGCTCTGAGCGCGTATCGGGCGTTGGGGGGAGGCGGCGCAGGGCGGCGCTGGCGCTGCCATCGCCACGGGCCTCGCGGCGGCGGTCGCGAGACACCCGGCGGCGGCTCGCGGCGCCGTCTCTGCGGCGCTCGGCGCCGTTTGACGTCGCCGGCAGCCGCACCTCTAATCTGCCACCGTCGCTCCCCCGGCTCTGACCGAGTATCGGGCGTTGGAGGGAGGCGGCGCAGGGCGGCGCTGGCGTTCCCATCGCCACGAGCCTCGCGGCGGCGGTCGCTGCGCAGCCGGCGGCGGCTCTCGGCGCCACGTTTGTGGCGAGCGGCGCAGTTTGCGCTCACCGGCGGCTAATCGCAGCCGCCGTCGACCTTCCGCCTTCAGACGAGTGCGGGGCGCCGTCAACTCGGAACAGCGCGGCGCTGGCATGCCCCCCGCAACGAGCCTCGCGGAGGCGATCGTGTAGCACCCGGAGAGGTCGCTCGGGGCCGTGTTCGAGGCGAGCATCGCACTTTGAGCGCGCTTTCGGCCCTGCTGTCTGCAATAGCTGCATGGCGCGGGGCAGTCTCTGGCACGATTGAGGCTGGCTGGGGCCAACTGGCCTGGCTCACAGGCGGCAGGCAGTGCTAGGGTGGCTTGGGCCGCCCTGCTCGGGTGTCGGGAGGCGTTGGATACCTCTTTGGTTGGAGTTCTCACGGGTCCCGGACCCGTCTGGAGTGCCTCCGGAGGCCCGTTTGACACCTGCACAAGGCTGGTAGTGTACCACGACACATAATGACCATGTATTTAGCTGCCCCGGCACTAGTAGCGATAGTGGGGTGCGTTTTGGTGTCAGAGAAAAGCGATCTTTGGGGGCTGGTGGTCGATTCCGCTAACGCCATGGCCCATAGAAACTGGCCCGAGGAACCTTAAGAGAGCAGCAGGGGTAACACCCCCCGCGTATAACGGCCGGGAAGTCGCCTCTCCCGCGCGGCGGCCCAGGGTTCCGGCTCCTACTAGTACCCAGATCGGGGGTCTGCGGGGTTAAACCCTATGCAATAGGTAGGTAGGTCCGGGTTTGACCGCCCCAGAGGGCCACGCAATAGCAATCGCCAATCCACCGATATTTTCGTCTTTTTTCGCTTCGCTGCGCGGACTGGGCGCTGGGGATAGGTAGATAGGTAGGGCGTTTTGGTGCGAGTCAGGGTGAACAGACCCCCTATCTGGGTAGGAGCCGGAACCCAGAGGGGCTGCGGCTGGGTTCACACACGGTTCCCGCTCCCCTTACCCGGGGTCCGCGCGAGCCCCTCTCCTTTTGTAGCGTCGTGGCTTTGAACCCAGATAGGTTTCACCGCGCCGGCAGCATGGCCGGCAGAAACCATATGGTCCATGCCCCATGCCGCCGCGCCGCCGCCGCAAAGCCTTCGGCCTTCGCAGCCTTTTTTCCCCCGCGGCCGTGAAGTAGAGAGCTTGCTCGCTCACATGGTACAATCATGGCACCTCCTTCCACACGACACGGGACACGAGAAGGGCTTATACGGTTACGCGTGATGACGAGTTGTATAGAGAGTTGTGTACACACTGGGACGAGATCGACACATACATTCGCAGACGAGGGATGCACATCATGCACGCAAGTCGTCCGTCGGCGACGGGGCGCCGCTGCCCAGCTCCTCCCTCGAGCCGACGGAAGCGAAGCTCGAGGCGGACGCGGAGCGCGACGCCCGCGCTCTCCCCAGCCGCTCGCCGACGCGGTCCGACCCGTCGGCGAGGCCGACCGAAGACGCTCGGCTGCGGGAGACGAGCCGCTTCGCGCCGTGGCTGGGGGTGAGCCTCCCGACCCTCGCCTTGTCGGCGTCCGCCACCGCCACCGGCATCCGCTCGCCTTTCCCCACCCCTTCGACGACACGGATCTCCTCGACAGCCTCGCGCCGGCCCGCGTTGAGCGCACGCGCGGCCGCCACCGCCTCGGCGAGGTTGGCGGCCCACCCGTCGCGACTGGCCCGGTCCGGCGCGAGGAGGAGCAGCTCCGTCGGCGCCGGCGACCCCTCGCCCCCCGCCGGGGGAGAGCCCCTCACCAGCAGGCAGCAGTGCAGCAGTGCGGCGTCGCTGAGGCCCTCCCCGAGGAGGCCCCTCGCCGCGAAACCGCGCGCCTCCTCCAGCGAGGGCCCCGCCAGCGGCCCGGCCTCCGCCATCGAGCTGAGCGAGAGCGACTGGTTCGGCAGCAGCGCCAGCCGCTCCGTGCCGCCCGCCGCGGCCGGCTCACGCCACGCAACCACCGGCCGCCCGCCGCTGCCGCCGCCTCCGCCTCCGCCGCCTCCGCCGCCTCCGCCTCCGCCTCCGCCTCCGCCTCCGCCTCCGCCGCCTCCGCCTTCGCCTCTGGCTCCCGTGGCGGGGGCGCACGGCTCGACCCAGAAGAAGAAGGGCGCCGGCGGCGCGGCGGGCCAGTCCTTCCTCCAGCGGAGCAACACCCCGCCCGCCTGCAGCGCGCGCAGCCACGCCGGCCGTCCGAGCCCGGGCCACGGCGCGGAGGAGGGGGCGCTGTAGTGGCGGCGGTCGGCGACGCCCACGGCGGCGCATAGCACCTCGGCGAGCGGAGTGCCGAGAGGCGGCGGCTTCTCGAGCGGCTCCGAGAGGGCAGACTCCTCCATCAGCCGAGAGATCTGCAAGGCGGCGGCAGCGGCAGAGGAGACGGCGGCGGCGGTGGTGGTGGAGGAGGAGGCGCCGTGCGACCGGCCGGTGCGAAGAAGGGCAAGCAGCCCGTCCGACTCGGCTCCCAGCCGCGCCTGCGCGGCGGAAGCGTCGGCCGTCGCAGTTCGCAGCGCCTCCGGGAGCTCTTCCCGCAGCGCTGCGCCCGCAGCTTCGGACGAACCGCTCGCGGTGGCTCTCAGCCGGGCGTGCCGCTCCGTTGCGGTGGCTGCGGCTGCCGCCGCCGCGGCGGCGGCGCTGTCCGCAGTGGCGGCCGCGGCTCTGCCCGCGGCGCTGTCCGTGGCGGTGGCCCTCGCAGCGGCGTCGCCCGGGACGACGACGGGCGGAGGCGGCGGCCCGACCGGCGCGACCCCTTCCTCAGGCTCCGCCGCGGCGGGGAGGAGGCCGGGCGGCATGCGGCGCGGCAGCCCCTCGGGGAGCAAGCCGCGGAACTTTGCGGCGGCGACGTGGAGCGCGGCGCGGAACTCGTCCGCCGTCAGCTCATCGGGCGGGAGGGCGGCGGAGGCGCGCCGGCTGCGCGCCTCCACGCACATCCGCCAGATGCGGTCGATGTCCTCCGTGGACGTGGACGCCTTTGCAAAGATCGGCTTGATTAATAATTAATAGCTAATGAATAGTTAATTAGTGAATTAATTAAGTGGACGCCTTTGCAAAGATCGGCTCCGCGGCAGGGCGCGTCACGGTCGTGCGGCCGGCGGCGGCGGAGGCGAAGAGGCCGCTGTACGCCTGCCGCTCCGCGTCGCTCATCGGCGGCACCTCGGGCGCGTGCGCCTCCGCGCCGGCTTGCTCGGGCAAGGCAGCCTGCTGCGGTGCGGTGCTGCGGGACGAGTCCTCGGACAGGTCCTCGGAGAGGCGCTCGAGGGACGACTCCATGCGCAGCGACGCCTCCGACTCGCTCCCCGGCCGGAGCGACGACTCGGAGTAGGAGAGGGCCTGCCAGGAGGGCGGCGGTGAGGGGCAACAGCAGCAGGGGGGGGAGAGAGAGGCGGTGAGGAGAGAGGCAGCAGGGGAGAGAGAGAGAGGCGGCGGCGAGGAGAGAGGCAGCAGGGGAGAGGGGCGAGGCGGCGGTGAGGAGACGAGGGAGGGGGGCAGCACGGCGGGGGCGGCGGGGAGATGTGGCGCCTCGTCCGAGTCGGACGCGAGCGGGTGGACACCCTGCGCGCCAAAGGAGACGTGCCGCGACTCGGGCGACGCTCTCCGCCGGCCGGTTGGGGAGGCGGGGGCGGAGCCGTCCGACGAGCCCTCGTCGAGCGGGCGGCGCGGCGCGTTGCCGCGCTGCGTGGGCAGCACCGGCATCGTGTTTGCGCGCGACGAGCCAAACGCGGCGGGGTGGTGGGGCGGCAGCGGGAAGTCCTCTGCGCAGAGGGTGCGCGCCAACCGCTCGACCTCGGCGCGAGAGGCGCCGTCGCGACGCGAGACGCTCTCGAGACGCTCCTCGTGCCGCGCGCACGCGCCGTAGAGCAGCGCCTCGACGTCGTCCTCACATGCGTACTTCGGCATCGCAACCAGCCGCCGCACCGCCCCCTCCGCCGCCGGCTCAAGCTCCATCGCCCGCTCCGCAAGCCAGACCGCCACGACAGCCATCATCCCGTCTACCGCCGCCTCGTCGAGCGGGGCGGGGCTCGGCCCGCCGACGAGGGCGGCCGCGGAGGCGGAGGGCGGCGGCGGCGGAGGCATGGAGAGGCGGCGAGAGCCATTGCCGCCCGTGCGCTGCTCGACGCCCTCGTACTTTCGCTCGAGCGCCGCGAGGGCGTTCCGCGGCGCGCGCGAGGCCTGCAGCGACATCGCGTGGTGCGTCGCGACGTCGGCAGGCGCGCCGGCGGGAGAGTTGAGCTGCATCGCCCTCTGCTCTCGGAGGGAGAGGGAGGCGGAGGCGCCGACGTCGGGCGACTCGGCCGGCCGCTGCGCCGAGGCGGCCGCCGAGGCGCGCCGCTTGCGCGCGAACGAGGAGGCGCGGCGCGAGGCCTTGTGAGCAGCGGCGACGGAGGCGATCGAGTCTGCGTCGCCGCCGTGCCCGCCGAGCGTCGCGCGGCGGCGGCGGCCGTCGGCGTCGGGGGCGGACGGCGCGGGCGGCGGCAGGTCGGGCACGTCGAGTGTCCAGTCCCGGATCGCCCACACCTGGCGGCAAGGGAGGGCGTTGGCGGTGGCGGTGAGGGAGGGTGGCGGCGAGGGCGACAAGGAGGGCAGCAAGGAGGGCGGTGGGGAGGGCGGTAGTGGCGGAGGAGGAGGTGGTGGAGCGGAGGGAGGGTGCAGGAGATGGGGGGGCTGCGAGGGCGGTGGCGGTGTGGCACCCAGGCGGCGGCGTCGCGCTCTGTGTCGACGACGAAGGCGAAGGAGGAGTGGCGCGACGGCTCCTTGGCGAGGGCGCCTGGGGGGAGGGGCACGGGAGGGCTCCGGGGGAAGGCTCCGGGCAAGGTGCAAGCTCCTCGAGGCTCCGGAGATGTGGGGAGATGTGGGGAGGTGTGGGGAGATGTGGGGAGATGTGAGGAGGTGTGGGGAGGTGTTGGGAGAGGTGTGGGGAGATGTGGGGAGATGTGGGGAGATGTGGGGAGGTGTGGGGAGGTGTGGGGAGGTGTGGGGAGGTGTGGGGAGGTGTGGGGAGGTGTGGGGAGGTGTGGGGAGGTGTGGGGAGGGGTGGGGAGGGGTGGGGAGGGGTGGGGAGGTGTGGGGAGGTGTGGGGAGGTGTGGGGAGGTGTGGGGAGGAGTGGGGAGGTGTGGAGAGGTGTCGGGAGGTGTGGGGATATGTGGGGAGATGTGGGGAGATGCGGGGAGATGCGGGGAGATGCAGCGCGCCATCGCCGCGGTCGAGCAGCTTGACCATCCGGACCTCGGAGTCGCGCCCGTCCTTACCGAGGACGACGGGCGCCGCCGGCCGCACCTGGGGAGATGTGGGGAGATATGGGAGATACGGGGAGATATGGACGACGGGCGCCGCCGGCCGCACCTCGAAGCCGAGGCGGCGCGGCACCACGGCCATGCCCTCGAGCCGGATGTACGCGACTGGCTCGAGGTCTGCCTGCTCGGGCGTACAGGAAGGGCGTGGGTGGTGACTCGTTGTGACCTTCTGAGTGCTCACGCCTCTGCCTGCTCGGCGTAAAAGTAGAGGGCGCGAGACGAGAGGACAGCGAAGAGCCTGCGGTCCTGCGCGGCGACCTGGGCCGGGGGGGAGGGGGGAGAGGGTCGGCAGGGGGGGGGGCGGGGGTGGAGGATCAGGAGGAGGGCGTGAGGGGAGCGGCACATCACACACCACACACTCACGCTCACGCTCACGCACACGCACACGCACACACACACGCACACACACACACACACACACACACAGAGGGAGGGAGGGAGGGAGGGAGAGAGAGAGAGAGAGAGAGAGAGAGAGAGAGCCAGCGAGAGGGCGAGAGGGCGGGAGGGCGGGAGGGCGGGAGGGCGGGAGGGAGCACCTTCCGGCGGCTCTTCTTTGCCATCCAGCCCTGCCGGACGATGCGCATGAGGTGCCGTTCCTCGACGGACCACTCGAGGCGCGTGACGCGGGCGTAGAAGCCGGAGAGCATCGCCGGGTCGGGCGACGAGCCGTCCTAAATGTTATTAATTATTGTTAATTATTATTGATTGGAGAGCAGGTCGGGCGACGAGCCGTCCTAACTCACAGGGGAATCAACCGTTCCCGAGGTGGAGGTGGGGCAAGGGCCAGGGCAGCCCTCGCGACTTCACGTCTAGAGACGACAGGAGCCCCACACGGCATTGACAGTGCACAGCTCGGTGCGCGTGTGTGTGGGCGGTGTGTGTGTGTGTGTGTGTGTGTGTGTGTGTGTGTGTGTGTGTGTGTGTGTGTGTGTGTGTGAAGGGGGGTGGGGGGGGGGGGGCTCGTCCTTGCACGTGCCCCGTAGCTGGCCCAGGTACTGCTCGCGCGTCATCTTCTTTTTCACTTGCGCAGAGTGCGCGTCCGAGTTGAGCATCGTGAGCGAAAAGGCGATCAGATACGCGGTGTCGGGGTGGTCGAGCGCGCCCACGTTGGACGCGTGCCACTGCGCCGCAAACTCCTCGATCAGCCGGTCGATCTTCTGCGCCTCGCCTAGTTTGGATTTGGGTACCGGGTTTGGGAGGGCACTGCGGCGCGCCGCCCACATCTTGCAAGTGTCTAGCCTGTGTGTCTGTGTGTGGCGTCTCTCCGCCCCGCCTGTGTCCCGCCCTGACCGTCTGGCGCCCCGTCACTGACCAGACTGTGTCTTCACCTCTCTAACTCACTCACCCGGCAGCTTGATGAAGGAGATCATCAGCCGCAGCGCGCTGTCGAGCGGGACGCCGCGCAGGGAGAGCGAGCCGATGACGATGCGCGCCGTCTCGCGCGCGGCGGCGTCGCGCCCGCCCAGGTAGTCGCCCACTTTGGACGCGTCGAGCTTGCCGTCGTTTGCGAGCAGGAACGCAGCGATGCTCTCCGGCTCGCCGTCGACGTGGTCATAGCTCACGAGCGCCGCGACGGCCTTGTCGCCCGACTTTGCGCGGTTGAAGGCGGCGAGGGCAGCCGAGGGCGCACGCTCGGTGCCGCCCGCGCCGCTCGCGCTGCTGCTGCTTTCACCCCCCACTGCCCGGCTCGACACAGCCCGAGTGTGCTCAAAGGAAGAAGCTGCGCGGCGCGCTTTCGGGTTGGAGTCCTCCAGCCACTGCGGGCCCGCGGCGGTGGCCATCGGCCGCTCCGGCGCGTCACCAGCGGCGGAATGACGAGTGGGAGGGAGCACTCGCGGTCACCGCCTATCCGCGTCAAGGCGCCTCAAAGCCTGTGGGCGCTCGGCAGGCGGCGGCGCGGTTTTTTTTTCTTTCCGCTTCGGCCGCCATCGCAACTTTCGAGAGAGACGCTTCGGCAACTTCTGTCGCCTCAAATTCGCTCGCGCCGTCGCGGTGCTGCGCGGTTGTGCCCCGAACAGACGCCGAACAACTTGAAAACAGTCGACACACACAACTCGACGGCGGCGCTCAGAGCGCACCTCTGATCACTCACTCTCCTCCGCGCGGCGACACCGACTCGTCGGGCGCGGTCAACGAGACTCCTCCTAGTAGATCTGGTTGCATCTTCTCCGCGGTATGCCCGCCGAAGCTCTGGTGGTCGCGGCTCGCACCGCGCTGCAAAAGCACTGCGGCGGCATTGACAGCGTTGGCGGCCGCCGCGTGGAGGAACGGCGACCAGCCATTCTCATCCGTCGCCTCAAGGCACGCACCTGCTTCACACAAGAGCGCGCAGACGGCGGCGCTGTCTGCCGCCGCCGCCGCCATAAGCGGCGTCATCCCAGAAGCATCGACGGCATCGGCGGACACTGCGGGCGCGGCGGACAGCTCTAGCTCCTCTCCCTCCTCACTCTCCTCCTTCCGCTGCAGCAGCAGCCGGGCAACGCCCTCGCTTCCAGACCTTGCCGCAGCGTGAAGCGCGGTGGTGCCGTCGTGCGCCGCTGTGGCTGGGTCTGCGCCGCCACTGAGCAACGCCGCCACGACCTCGTCGTGCCCATTCTCGGCCGCGAGGAGCAAAGCTGTTTGGCCATTGCGCTCATTGCTCTCGTCGGGTGCTGCCCGCGCCTTCAGCAGCAGCCCAACGGCGTTGGCGTGGCCGCCCGATGCGGCGAGCGCCAGCGGCCCACTGCCGTACACGTCGGTCACGCTCCACCCGTTCGCTGTGGCATCAGTCGACTCTTCCGAGCCGGGCTCGCCCCCCTCCTCTGGAGTCTCGTTGGTGGGCAGAAGCCGTCTTAATTCGTCGCCGTCGCCGCTCATTGCCGCAAGAATGATGGCCTCGGCCGTGCGCGATTCCATCCCTGACATGCGCAGCCCGAGTGGTGCAGCAATGATACCCACCCCAATCTGCGCCTCGGCGAGCGGCAGCCGGACTGGGCGGTGGTTGCACATTTCTAGATCGTAACGAACGCTCGCAGGGTTCCGGCTCCTACCCAGATAGGGGGTCTGGTATACGGTTAGACCCCATGCAATAGGTAGGTAGGTCCGGTTCTGACCGCCCCAGAGGGCCCCGCAATAGGTAGGTAGGTGGTGGTGGTGGGCTTGTAGGCGGGAGGGTCCGTGCCCTCGACTCTGTCGAGGGAAGAGACAAGAGAGTGCCGTTTTGGAGCCGTCCAACGCCTCGAGAGCCCAGTAGGCCATGCTCTGGCGGGCTCGCGAGCGGCGCGCACCGCGGTACAAGCCGGCGCGCGGCGGGCGGCGCTGGGAGCCTATTCACAGAGGGCTAACGGATATTTTTTCGCTTCGCTGCGCGGCCTGGGAATAGCAATAGGGAGCCCCAGGTACTCTTTAGCTGTACTCGTCTAGGCAGGGGTTGGAATAGGTAGGTAGGTGGGGCACGGAGCCTGGCGATTGGCGCCCGCAATAGGTAGGTAGGTAGGGCGTTTTGGTGCGAGTCATAGAAACCAGACCCCCTATCTGGGTAGGAGCCGGAACCCAGTGAGCTCGCGCCGTATTTCGCGTTCGCAGCGCGCTCACAATGCTAATCGAGTTGCCGCCGCGCAGGCCACTCGCGCTGCAGGTGTGCGCCGCCCTCGTTGCGGTGGGCTTGTGCGCGGCGTTCGTGTTCGCCGGCCGAGAGCCTGACAAGATGACCCACTACCATCAGAGCGCGGCAGACCAGCGACTTGAGGCAATGCTGGTGATGGCGCGCTCGGCACCATCCAGCGGACAGAGCGACCGTACGCAGCGCCCGCCCCCACCGCCCTCGCCCCTGCCGCCGCCGCCGCCGCCACCAAAGCTGCCGCCACCGGCCACCCTTGCAGCCTCAGCCACAGAGTTTGAGTTTATCGTCGAGGTGCCCATGACAGCGGAGGTCCTGACGATTGGGACGCAACAGGACAAAGCTCCCGCCCCTGCGCTCGCTGAACCCGCTGCCCAGACCCCGGGCGACGACGACGACGACGACGACGACGACGACGAGAAGGGAGATGGAGGAGAGGAAGGAGAGGACGACGGGGAGGACGAGGACGAGGAGGAGGGGGAGGAGGGCTCGGGGCCGTTCGACACGGCCGAGGAGGAGACGGCTGAGGAGGAGCCGTTCAGCTGTGCAGAGAGCTGCGAGTACGCCGGCTACGGCTGCGGCGCCAGAGCCGGCGTCGACAGCGGCGCTTCGACCTTTTGCACCCGATGCGAGCCGGTGGAGCGCTTCCGATCGGGCGACAGCGCGATCAACCCCGCCTGCACGGAGGCCAACAAGTACGACGTGGCGCTGGCGCGCGAAGCGCGCGATGCGGCGGCGCGGGCGGTGTGTTGTTGAATGTCTCGGCAGTTGTTCGCTCGAGTCCTCCATCCATCCACACACACACTTTCGTCGGGCGAGGTGCCTCTGGCAGAGGTCCACGCCTACGCTACGTGATCTCCAGAAAACCACTCCACTGTGGACGTCCGCCGCAATTCGGACAATGTCTGGTCCCAAAACGCGCCACATGACGTCCACCGCCGCCGCGTTGGGCGGCGCGCGCCGACGCCGACCATCAGCCATCACCACCGACCGACGGCTCGCACGGCCGTGCGGTGAGCAAAAATTTGGGTCGCTGCGCGCCTGCCGGATGCTCTGCGACGTCTGGACGCTCGCCAGAAACGCCAGGAAGCTTGCCTTCCACCCCTGGGCCCGAGGGCGAACGGCAGTGGTCGGCAGCCTCTGCGACGCTCCGATCGGCTCCTCGACCTCATCGCCTGCGACGAGCCAGCAGCATGGCTCGTCGCTCGACGGCAGCCTGCTCAGTATGCTCTTGGCATTCTGTACAGCCTCGCCAGGCTCTCTGAGACGGCCTGCAGGGCCGGCGCGGACCGCCTCGGGCGCGATGGCCCTCCTCAGTACCTACCCCTTCGATGCCTGTCGGCTCTCCAATCGCGTCGCCGGCGGCAGGCCCGCATGGCGCGCTGCTCGATGGCAGCTTGCTCAGTACGCCTTGGACAGTGACTTCTGCCTCGCTGCTCTTACTGCAGCCGCCTCCGGGGCCGGCGCCAGCCGCCTCGCTTCGCCAGTGCTGTCTACGCCTGCGCGACACGCGTGTCGGTTCGCCGCCCGCGTCGCCCGCGGCGGGCCCGCATGGCGCGCCGCTCGTCTGGAGCGTTCCCAGCAGGCTGTGCAGGGCAGTCTGCCTCACTCAGGGCGCCGCCGCCGCTGCGCGGGGCCGCCACCGGCGCTGCTGCCGTGAACAATGCCGACGTGTATGTCACCATCGCCTCTCTTCGTCGCCGATCTCGCCGACGCCGCTCGCCGCTCGCCGCCGCCCTGCCTTGCCCTGCCCTGCCCTCGCACAAACAATGAAACAAACCAACACAGACACACACACAAACAGACACACACACACACAACTCCTTGCCCCCGCGCCCTCCCGCCTCACGCCCTGCGCCTCACGCCGCGCGTCCCACGCACGCCCTGCCCCCCGCGCCCCCACGCCCCTCACCTCGCGCCTCACGCCTCCCTCCCCACCCTCTCAGGCATTTCTCCTCCCTGCTGCTCGCCGACTCCTCCTCCCCCCGCACGACCGACGACTACCCGTCCTTCAGCGACTCCTCCCTCTTCGGCGCCAACGCCCACTACCCGTTCGGCCCGGTGAGGGGCAGGAGCGGAGCCATTCCAACGGCTGGGAAAATTTCTGAACGGCCGTGCATGCGCCTGCATGCCGGACAACTAAGAAGGTCCCTCGCTCCTGCTCCTCTCTCGGAAGACGTGCGCCGGCCTGGGGGATTCGCTTGCGATCCCGCTCCAGCCAGAGGCCGCGTGAGGCGTGTGGGACGGTGCACGCTGGGGCTTGGCCCCAAGTGCACTGGCCTCGCGTCTCGAGGGGAGGGCGGCTCGTAATTGAGGTTCGCCGTCGGAGACAGTCGTCCTCCCCTCAACCCGACGAGAGTGGGCGGGCAGTCCCCGTGGCTGCAGTCGCGCTTCCGAGCCGACTCCGCCCCTCTCTCCACCCGGCCATTCCAACGGCCAGGCCGCTCGCTTAAGGCTGATTGGCTAGACGAGCGGCCTACCTCCAACGGGGCGGTCTGGATCACGGGGGATGACATCCTGCCTCCCGGCACGCCGGGAGGAGGTAGGTGGGTGCTCCGCCGCCGGAACGCCCTCTCCACCACCCTCGCCCAGGGATCTACAATGCTGTCTCAAGGTCCGACCTGTGGGCTCCGGCCTGCGCTCGGCACCGGGCACCGCCTCGGTATACATGTACAAAATGCGCCTGCGGGCGGACCCTCACAGATCACAGATCACTCCGCGTGAAGCACACCCCACCCCGGAAATCTCTGCAGCAGCAGACTGACGAAGGAGCCCGATGCTCGGCCGGCTCGCGGTGTTGTCGTCCGCGCTTGCCTTTCGCCCCTCGGCGCCGCGCGCGTCCACGCCGCACATGAGTGCGCCGCGCGCGTCCACGCCGCACATGAGTGAGCGGGCGCGCAGACGTCACTTGAAGGAGATTGGCGAAATCGACCCGATAGATGTCCAGATAATTCAGAGGCAGTTCGCGACTGTCCGTGAGCTGCCGCGGATACTCGGGACCGAAGCCGGGAATGCGACGAATATCCTCGAGCTCGACGACTACCGCGAGCCCTCCTTCAAGCGCCTCTTCACGCACAAGACGTGGCAGCGCTACACGGGCGGCTCCGCCATCGGCCGCATCCTGCGGCTGGTGCGGCAGTGGCCGTTTTGCCTGGTGATGCAGGCGACGTGGCCCCTGCTGCTGTTCAACGCGTGCTGGGCGCTGCTCGTGACGGCGGCAGTGCCCGCGCACGTCCTCACCGGCTGGTCGCGTGGGCTCCAGGCGACGATGCAGCTGCAGGGCGCGGCGATCGGCCCGCGCCCTCGATGCTGAAGACAGATATACTCTCCAGCTAGCACTCGTACACGCGGAGCTGCTGCGTCCCATTGCATCACGCTCTGGCGCTACACGCAGCACTTGCACTCAGCCGATGCTCACGCCATGACGACCAGCGGTGCTCACGCCACAACGCTGCGTGTTCGCACCTCTGGAGCTGCTGTCCTGCAGGGCTGCTGCTGGTCTTTCGCACCGACAACGCGTACCGGCGGCTCGAGGAGGCGCGGAAGGACTGGAGTCGCATCCTCTACCTCTCGCGCGAGGTTGTGAGCAGGGTGCTCGTCTCGTGCGAGTACCCAGTCACGTGCGAGGTGGCTCGCTACCTGTGCAGCTTTGCCTGGTCGCTGCGCGACATGCTGCGCGACGCCGAGGACCGCGACGACATCCTCGACGTCCTCCTCGACGCCGAGGAGGCGAGCTGGGTGGTCTCGCAGCGGTCGAGGCCGCTCGCGCTGCTCGGGCGGGTGAGGCAGGTGCTGATGCGCGAGCTGGACGCGGGTGAGCTGTCCGCGACTCAGCACTACGCCATCGACATGGACGTGCGCGAGCTCTCCTCCGTGGTGGCCACGTGCGAGCGGCTCTTCTCGAGCCCGATCCCGCCAAACATGGCAAGGCACGGCGTGCGGTCTCTCATCCTTTGGCTCTTCGGCATCCCGACCGCGCGGATCTTAATTGCTCATTCACGGGGCGAGGTCTTAATTAAATTAATGAGTTAGGCATCCCGATCGTGCTCGCGGGCTCGATGCACCCCGCGCTCATCGCTCTCTGCGTGGCCTCGACGACGTACATCTACTTTGGCATCAACGAGCTCGGCATCCAGGTCGAGCAGCCCTTCAAGATCATGCCGCTCTGGCAGCTGTGCCACCTCGTGCAGTACAACATCGAGGAGGCGATCGGCTCGCCCGAGCTGCCGCTGCTCATCAAGCGCGAGCGCGAGATCGAGGCAGTGCCCCACTGGGAGCGGTACGACGGCTCAGCGCCGGTGTAGGACCAGGTCGCCGCGCTTGAGAGACTTGTGTCGAGCCTCACTGTGCAGTCGAGGCCACAGCTCCGTGAGAGACCGCGCGCGTTGCGTGTTTTGGGAGCGTGTGCTGAGGTGAGCCTCGTGAGCCGTACGTCAGTGTATTAGTGGCGCCAGAGATCGCGACAGGGCGAACGACGCGTCGATAATCGTGTACATTAGAGAGTGCGCGGGTGGCGGCTGGCGCGCGCGGGGCCCGGGGCGCGGGCGGTGACGCCCGGTGAGCGGTGTGCAGTGTGTTGCATGGCCGTTGTGTAAAAGGTGGCGACCGGTATATATCATCCCCACTATGCCACCGTCGCACATCATCCCACACTTACTCACCCGCTACTCACGAAATTGACCGCGTCACACAAGACACACAACACGCCGCGCACGCTCGAGCGCGCGCGCACGGCGCTGGGCGTCCGTGTGTCGTCGTCAAGAGCTGACCGCCTGTGTACAGTCTCGGGTCTCTCTTGGCCACTCCGCCAATACAAAATCACGACGTTGGAGGGGATCTCCTCGCTTTGGACATGATAAGTTCACCTCTGGCTCTGTGCTGCCAAATCGTGCCGGGGTGGTCACCAGCTCACCACTGGCCAAGGGAAACCACGGCCTTCAGATGACTCCACCCGCGCTGGGGTGTAGAGTGGGACCTTCTCGAAACACTTGCTTCTCCTTCCATTTCACTTCCGTAACAGAGGTGGGAGAGCCGCACCGCTCATGAGCCAGGCGAGAAAGCACACGGCGAGAAGCACGGGCAAGCTGGAGACGAGGAGCCCACCAGGTGCGCAACCGGGCGTGGTGGGCGGCTGGCGAGGCATTGTGCGGGGCTTTGGTGGTGAACTCCGCATCTGTTCGTTCGAAGTGGCCTGCAGTCTGTTTGCGAGTCAGTCTGAGTGCGGCACAAGCCGGCAGATGTCAATCACGTGGCATTACTTTTTCTTTTTCTTTTCATACCCGCAGGTGAACTGCTGACAGGGTTTGCAAAAAACCGACCTACCTACTCGAATACCTCCTCCCTCTAGATACTTATGGGAACCTAAAAAGAACTCCTATGGGATGTTGTCCCTATAGCTAGAGCGGGGTCCGGGGTGGTTGCCGATCGGCCATAGTCCCGCGACGAGGGAAATGCCCTATAGGATGTTGTCCCATAGCTAGAGCGGGGTCCGGGGTGTGGACCCTGAGTTGCACAGGGGTTGTGCGCCGGGCCCTCCTGGTCCTGCTCGGCTCCAGCGAGTAGACAAGTGTTACCATCAACAGAGTAGAAGGATCTGACCTCAGGGCCAATGTGACCAAGCGCTGGTACCGTGGTTTGACCTCACACCCATGGTCTCACAGTCTGCCGGCAGTCGCCGAGCAGTGTCGCTCACACAAGCCGCAGGCGCAGCACAAGTGACTGAGGCGGGCCAGTGAGGGCGAGCCCATCGCTGTGACAGCTGTACAGTAGGCTGTGCCATCTGTGTAGAGCGTGTAGCTTCTGCTCTCCAGGCTTCTGTCGCAAAGAGCTGCATGCCACCGTGCGCACCGAAGGCGCTGTGTCGAGGTTCACCGAGCGCGGGCCGGCGCAGGTTGGGGGACACCGTCACCGACGAGCGCGTTGGACAGTATTCACTCCGGACAAAGACGCTAGACGGCGACACGCACACGAGCTGCGGCCGTGTCGTCGCCGTCATAAGCGGCGAGGCGCGCGGGACCGTCTGTGGCGAAGAGGAAGTGCGGGTCGCGTCCCTCGATTTTCCGTCCCAACTCCCTCTCCGTACAACCGTAGGCGTAGCGGTGCCGCGCGCGGAGCGGCGGCGGGGGGGGGGGGGCGCGGCGCGCGGGCGGTGCCGCGGTGGTTTTTGCGCGGGGTTGGGTGATGGCTGATCGCTGTGCTCTTCTCTCTATAGTTTCATTCTGTGTGTTACCACGCGCGAACCCCATCCGCCATCCCACACATGCCTTGCACTCTACAGGGGCGCGCGGGTCACGCGTCGTCGAGCGCCGCGACGCCGGGCAGCACCTTGCCCTCGAGCAGCTCGAGCGAGGCTCCGCCGCCGGTCGACACGTGCGTCACCTTGTCCTCGGTGCCGTACTTTTTGGCGCAGGTCGCCGTGTCCCCGCCTCCGATGACCGTCACCGCACCGGCCGCGGTGGCCTTCACCACCGCCTCCATCATCGCCTTGGTGCCCGCCTCGAAGCTGTCCATCTCGAAGACCCCCATCGGGCCTACCCACACCACCAGCCCGCGTCAAGAGACGCAATTGCTGCAGCAGCGACACCTCTCGAGGCTGCCCCGTCGTCGGCGCCGTCGAGCAGGACTCGGCTAGTCGCGGCTAGTCGCGGCTAATCTCGGCTAATCTCGACTCGTCTCGGCTAGTCTCGGCCAGTCTCGCGCCGTTCCACAGGATGGTCTTCGAGGAGGAGACGACGCTCGCGTTGATCTCGCTCGAGCGAGGGCCGCAGTCGAGCCCCATCATGCCGTCCGGGACCCCTCCCTCGAGCGTCGCCGCGCCGATCTCGCCGCCCTCGCCAAACTCGCTCGCGGTGACAAAGTCGACCGGCAGTGTGATCTCGACGCCCTTCTCCTTGGCCAGCTCCATGATCTCGGTGACGAGGGCCGCGCCGCGCTCGTCGTAGAGCGAGGCGCCGATCGGCATGCTGTGCAGCACCTGGAGGGAGGGGAGTCTCTCCATCTCGGACGACCTCGGCTCATCTCTCGGTCCATCTCGGGCGAGCTCGGCGCCTTGAGGAAGGTGTACGCCATCCCGCCGCCGATGATCATCCGGTCCACCTTGTCCAGCAGACTCTTGATGAGCAGGATCTTGTCGCTCACTTTCGCACCGCCCAGGATGGCCAGCCTCGGCTTGGCCGGCGCGTCGAGCACCTGGCGGAAGGCCTCGAGCTCGCGCGCCACGAGGAAGCCGGCGGCCCTCACCTCGAAGCCCTCGCCCAGCATCGACGAGTGCGCGCGGTGCGCCGTCCCAAACGCGTCGTTGACATACACGTCTGCGAGGCTGCGTAGCGAGGCGCGAAAGGCCGCCACGGCGTCGGGCGCCGCCGTCACCTTGGCGCCGTGCGCGTCGACGCCCTTGCCCTCCTCCTCGACGTGGTACCGCAGGTTCTCGAGCAGCAGCACGCTGCCCTGGGGCGGGTCCGCGCATGCCGCCTCCGCCTCCGGCCCGACGCAGTCTCCGATGAAGCTGACAGGCCGTGCGAGGAGCTTCTCGAGGGCAGCGGCGACTGGAGCCAGCGAGCACTCAGGCTTCCGCGTGCCGTCCGGCCGCCCCAGGTGGGAGCAGAGGACGACCGCCTTGGCGCCCGACTCGAGGCAGTACCGGATGCTCTGCAGCGCGCCCTCGATTCTCGCAGTGTTGGTGATTTTGCTCGGGTCGGCCTTGTCCTGCGGCACGTTGAAGTCGCAGCGGATGAGCACGCGCTTCCCGGCCACGCTCACGCTCCGGAGCAGCCGCTTGTTGAGCTCGCCGCCTGCCCCGCCGCCCGCGCCCATGTCGTGCTCTTTTAGGTACTCGGCGATGTGGAGGAGTGGAGAAGACGACTGTGCAGTCACCGCGTCGAGGACGGCGTCCGAGATTATGCGCTCGATGTCGTGCTTTTTGAGATAGTCAGCGACTTCTTGGGCCGAGAGCGCCATTCGTCTCTCTCGGTTGGCCACTCCCTAATTTTGCGGCGCCTGGATTCGAGCTGTCCGGGGGGAAGGTGAAGTCCTCGCGCCGCCGAGCCCAACCGAGCACATCGCGGACCTGTCCGCTGCGTGAGACGCGGGCGGCGGGCGCGCGGAGGGGCAGCGTGAGGTGACGTCACGGCTTCTGGAGGCACCTGGGGGTAGGGGCTGCGCGGGCGCGCGGAGGGGCGGCAGGGCGTGAGGACTGAGGTGAAGGCGTGACGCTGTCCCAAAACTACCGTTACAGCAATCTGGAGACCTGTGAGTAGGGGGGTAGGGGGTAGCCGCTGTGCCTGGACACGTGTCGAGGGGTAGGGGGGTAGGGGGTAGCCCCCCGATCGGCATTGTACCCCTACCCTTCTCCCCAAACAGCTCGAATCCTGGTGCACGCCGCGTCAGTCTGTTTTTCCTTTTTCGTGTCCCCAATCAAGGTTATGGGAGCGGCCATAACAGGTGTTATGGCTGTTATGGCTGGCTGCTCATAACACCCCATAACACCTCATAACACCTCATAACACCTCCATCGCTGTTATGGCTGTTATGCCCACCCTACCATAACACCTCATAACACCTCATAACACCTCATAGCACTCATAACACCTCCCACTGGTTGTTATGACAGCCAGCATAACAACCTTTCATAACAGCGCTGTTATGACTCGGCCAAAACCTCATAACCTTTTTAGAAAAAGGACGTGAGTTAAATTGCGGGAAAGACATACAAGTTAAAAACGGAGGGAAGCGTGCAGAGCTGCAGAGAGTACGAGTTAAAAATAAAATATTCTTAGCTTCAAGCCCCCCTCCGAGACTAGGGACAGAACCCAGAGATACATACGTCAAAGGGACTGCGCCTCGCCCCCACTTGCCCTGACTACACAGGATAGCATGCCCCGATAACGGCGACATATAGTGGGGGACACTGCGCAAGGAGGGGGTGCGAAGGCTCATTGGGATACTAGGTGGGACCATGAGGGGGGGTGGGCGGGGTCCTGTGGGGGTGAAATGTTGCGCGGCGAATTCGAACCTACCCCCTCGCCGCGCCGATCCTCACGCGGAGGGTAAAACCCTGTGGGACAAAACCCCCCCGCGGTCGGCAGTCTTCAGAGTGGACCCCCCCCTCCCCAGCCTCCCCTGTGCATCTCGCACCCCCCCCCGCTCCCCATCGGTGACTCGCGAAGGACACGGACACTCGGGGTGAGGGGGGGTCCCCCCGGAGGGGGCTCTCTGGGGCATTTTTGGGTTGATCGCTTGTGCCGATCTCGGGTCGATCTCGGGTCGATCTCGGGTCGATCTCGGGTCGATCTCGGGTCGATCTCGGGTCTCGGGTCGGTCTTGGGCGGGTCGGTCTCGGAGTGGTCTAGAAAAGAAAAAAATGGGGCGAGGATGAGGCGAGAGATGAGGCGAGGTGTGAGGCGAGAGGTGGGGGGCGAGAGGATGAGGCGAGATGAGGCGAGATGAGGCGAGATGAGGCGAGATGAGGCGAGATGAGGCGAGATGAGGCGAGGTGAGGCGAGAT